AAAATCCATTGCGCAGGCTGGAAAGGTAAAAGACCTTTCCCAAAAAATCTTCGTTCGCAAAGACTGGCCATTATTTACAGAAGTAGACTGGTCTCTGACTGGCATTACATTAATCAGTCCGACTACCACCATTATAAGAAAACTCATCTCTATAGCTGTACAGAATATGGTTATAGATATGTAGGATATGGGTCCAGCAGAGTGTGATCAGGGACTACTGAAACAGCTAATTTTCTGACAGCAGTAGAGCTATATCTCTATTTATTCATCTTCCTTATCTCTGTGCCCTGCTCCTCAGAAAAGTGGCCTTTGCCATATCCCGACATGACAGATGTATCACTCGTTGGTGACATATGTGCTCATTGCACATAGCATCAGGTGCAGAACAAGAGATGATATCAGGCCGTTGCTTAGTTATCTTTGCTTGCTCAAAGTCTGTAAAGCAACAATGAGGAAGCTAATTAATTGGAGCAAATTAGTGCAGGTATCCGAACAAAGAAAAAAAAAAGGCACAAAGTGAAACAGAATGATTTTGGATGCAACCATATACTTTTCTACCTAGTCTTGATAATACATATTGAGTTACACATTTGACAGCAAGGGAGGAATTCAGTTTGGTGTGAAGGCATTTACATTTAGGCATTCACATGCAAATGCCTAAACTCTATTTTTAGTAAGTGAATACTAAGGAGCTCCTTAGGAAGAGCTCATTTGGATGCCTTCCTGATATTCAGATGTCTAAACATAGACACCTCATGTTGTTTGGGTGCTGTGGAGCCCCCAGCCCAGCTCCTTGCTCATGCTCCAGGGAACGGTCCTGGACCTCTCTGGTACTGGCCAGTCTTGGGCAGACATCTGGGGGACCTACAGGCACCTCATAGGGCCCTTGGAGCTATCTGTGGGCAGCTGATAACTGTCCTTAATGGCCTTTCTGGAATTATTTTGACTATCTTGTGTTCAAGAAATGATTGGATGTGGCACTTGGTGCCATGGTCTAGTTGGCAAGGTGATGTTCTGTCAAGGGTTGGACTTGATGATCTCAGAGGTCTTTTTCAACCTAATTGATTCTGTGATTCTGTGATCTAAAATAATTTTCTGTATCTGTTTCCATGAATGCATAGCACGGATTTGTGCTTAAATGTGCATACAAATAATGCTTTTGAAGGTAGATGGTCTCTGTCAGCTGAAGTCCCAGTTATGTAGATAAGGTCATTTACAGTATCTTTATGACATCCATGAACTTTTTCTTTGTTCCACAAAAAATTCCAAAAACAAAGCCCAAAGAAATCTGACTTTGCACACTTTTTTTTTTGTATTTCTGAGTGCATATGTTTTATAAATGAGCTCTCCACATGTATCTCCATTAAGGTTTTAGTTCAGATCAGGAAGACATTTCTGAAGCCAAATCTCCCAGTTTTTCCCAACTACCATGCCTTGCTTTTGCTCTTGATCTACACTCATGAGAGTGTATGTTTCAGAATGAATAGACTGAGATTGTAGACATGATGAGAGATTAAAAATTCAGCATTTGGAGAAACATTTAACTGTTGTTTTTCAAAAGCTATGGTGAAACAAGGAACTAAGAAAGTAGTAAGCAGGGAGACCTTCCATAGTAACAAGAATCTTCAGAACAAAATACAGGTTTAGCTAAGTGTTACTGTACAGGGAATCAGCAGCATGCACAGTAGAGAATCAAGCAAACAAACATCCAGACAAATATACTGTAGAAATCATGAAATATTAATGAATAAATAATGCATATCATCTTGGTAGCTTTTTTGGCAGAACTATGAACTACATGGTTGATGGAATAGGATGTAAGTACAAAACTTTGATTATAATAAGGCATTTGAAACATTTTAAAATGTTCTTACATCCACTGGTTTGGACATACTCAGGGTACCATAGTTTATCTACCTGTAATATCACACTGAGACAGCTGACATGGTATTTCCACTACCCTGTCCTTTGACACTGATTTCACATTTGGGAAAGTGAGGGGAGCGTGTGTTAGTTTTACCAAGAATAACTGTATTTTTTCTTGGGGATGGGACAGCAATCTCTTATTTTAAAAACTGACCAAAGAGATCTCAGTTATTTATAGTCTCACTTTCAAGGCTGCAGAACCCACTGTTTAAGCATCACTGAAGGTCAACAAGTGCTGGAAAGAATTATTAATTAATTTCAGTTCCAAATGAGGAGCATAGCAGGGAAACATTTTGAGAAACCACATAGCCTGTCTTCTTGACTAAGTTTCTGGAGAGAGACTTGGGAAATTGAAAAAGAGCAGCAAACTGAGCCAAAATCTGCTGTTTGTTATGTGGGGATCGTTATGTGACTTGACCTCATAAAATCCAGACAACAATCAATTTTGTAGTTCATGGGAGGAGCCCACAGAGGAGAAACACAAATACCTAAGGCTAAGAAGCCTCATGATACTGTCTAGAAACACTGAAGGATATACATATTGGAAAAATGCAGAAGAGCGTATCTGATGAATCATACACTGCAGCACAGATATTCTGTGGGAGAAAGGAAAGAGAAAGATAGCAATGCTGAAAAAGATCTAAGGAGTATACACAGCAAGAAGGATCAGAACTGGGATTGTGGTATTCAGTAACAACAAAAAATAAACCCAAACTAACAGCCAGTGCATTCTGCAGATCTTTTTTTAGGTGCTCCACAATGTGCAGTTTGTGATACAGAGTTTAGGAGCAGGGAGGCTGCAGGGCCCCACTTAGTGTTCCCATGGATTAACCAAGTCAACCTGGGAGATGGCCAAGGGTTGGATGGCCCTTTCTGACAGCATATTCTTGAAAGCACACTCCAAACACCCCCATCTAGCTACCTTCATGCCAGGATGAATTGGAAGGAGTTCAGACAAAAGCAAGACAAATGACAAAGAGCTGGAGGGAATGACTTCAAAGGAAAGATTAAATGAGTTAAAATATGCATATCATGGCTAAGGAACCACTGTAGGTCAGGAGATGGGTAATACAGTAACTACTAGCCATTCCTAGGTAGAGGTAGAAATGAAGAGGTCTATCATTGACAGTAGACAGGGAGGAAGAAAAATTTGTCATATTATTAATATTCTTTTCCTTCAATTTCTTCTTGGTACATGGTAGCTTTACCATGTCATCATGGACTGCCAGCAGCAGGAAAGACACAATCACTGAGAAAAAGCCCTCTCCCTTAGTAGTGCACTCTGGATTCTGTTTTATAATTCATTTGATTGCCTCCTCTCCTTTCTTACTGCTCTAGGCCAGGCTCATCATTACACAGGGCTAAGGAACCCGTTCTCTCTGAAACCAAGAACATTTCAACAAGGCATGTTCAAAATAATTTATGAACATTTCCACTACTGCTACCAAATTGCTCCTTCCTCTATGCCTTATTATTGCAGGACCAAACAGCCTTGAAATACCTTAGGCTCATATAACTTCAATGAAATATTAAATAATGTCACAATTTTTGAGCATGAGAATTACTCCTCCCATCTGTTTTTTTGTTGTCGTTATTTTTGGTTTTGCTTGCTCCGTTTTTTTTTTCTTCAGGGCACATGCAGAGCATCTGAAAACAGACACACCCCACTCTAACCTCTCAGAAGGAATATGCCTTGTCGTAGCATCTACCTTGTTTAGATAGATCATAGCTAGTCAGGAAGGGCAGAGATTCCAACTGTGCTTGTGACCAGCATAGAATTCATGCCTAGGACAGTTCTTATTATATTATTCTCCCCTACGTTCAAATGCTAATTTTTCAACAGCCACCTTTATCCTGCTTTCCTTCTGTTAGATTCTTCATTCATTACTAAAGATGGTAAGCTTTTCCCAATAAGCACTTTTTTCCAATAAATCTTTTGAGAGTATCACTCCCACTTTACATTTTCTTCCTTCTCATCCTTTACTCACTAATGTCATTTATACAGCTCCTTTTGTGTTAACATCAGAAAGTCAGTACCTAGACTGTCTATAATCATACAAGTGAATGTTTAGCACTGAGGAAACTTTTCTTGGATCATGGAAGCCTGATATTCTTTCAAGCAGTAATATTACCCCTACTGACATTAAAGAGAAAGAGTAATTTTGCTATCAAGTGTTTTAAAAGTGTGAGTTAAGAGCATCTCATCTTTTATATTCAGCAGCCATTCCACCAAGAACTGGAAGAAATGAAAGAAATATCACTGAATTACAGAAGTTACAGCTGTGCAAAGCTTGCATACTGGAATTTACCTTGTCTGCTCTATGCTCCACTCTTTACATTACGGAAGAGCTCCCTACTCTACCATTTGCTTTCTTTTTCAGGTCATAAACTCATTTCCATTCATAATGCAAAAAAGGAGTAACACAAACCAGGATGTGAAAAACTACATTTTAAACCAAAATAAGCCTGTGGAACTTATGACAGGTTGAAAATGTTTAAACTGAACAGCTTTCACTGGAGTTAGCAGCTTGAGTGGTATGAGAAAATTCATGGGAACCTATGGATTTTGATGAATTTCCCCATATAAAATTGGTTTTGAGTAAGCTCTTGTGAGAGTGGAATGTCGCATTTTGGCAGAATAAAGAACCTCTGTGTGATATGTACTTCTATGCAACAACATATATAATATAAACAAAATTATATTTCACATTGTGATATTTTATATTGTCAAAAATGGGGATTTCTGGGAGTTTTATTGTATTTAGAAGTGGAAATAGACAGAATTCCTTTTCTTTGTAGGATCTGGTAAAGCTTTCCCCCCCCCCATTCTAGTTGCTTTCTTGGTGAGCAAGCAATCAAATTTTAAAAGGATAATCTTTTCCCAAATTTTGGCTATAGTTAACAATGCTACTTACAGACAGCAGTTTGAAAAGTTACAGTATAATTGATGCAGCATGAAGTGAATCAAGAGGGCAAAGTTGATTTGCAGATATTAACATAATCCACTCCTCATATTCCAGAGAAGTTCACATTTTTTCCCAGCATGTAACTTTCTTACAGAAAAATACTTCTACCTTCATAGCACAGTCCTTCCTTGGATGCACAAATGACAGCTTTTACATCCTGAAAGACACTCTGTAGTCTTCCCTGCTGTCATAGACTGGGCATTTGGAGGAGAAAAAGACAAATGCCCAAGTTTTGGGGGTTTTTTGCACAGAAAGCAGTCAGCCAACAGCAGCCTCCTCATGCAGCTGTTTCTACGTACATACAGAGCCAAAGGCATGAATAAACCTTTTAGCTTCCTAATCACATGTAAACACGCTCAAATCAGTTCTGCATTAGATTACCGATTCTCATTTATTTTACTGCCTGGAAACATTTGAGAGTGGCTCAGAGCAGATTTTTTTTTTTTTAAAGTTTATTTAATTGTTTGAATAAACAACATAAAAAGAAAAGGGCAAATGAGTTTGTTCTCTGAGGGGATAAATGCACTACTAGCTTTCCAGTGGGGCACTTTGTTTTCTCTCTGCAGCACATACACTTATGCAATTACAAAATTGCAGAATAAAGCCAAAGGCTTAAAAACCACCTTACTTGGGCTCACAATTAAGCTTTCAGGTGCCCTTTATTAACACAACCATTTTACAAATCTGGCCATGCACTTGTGAGATATGAACCAGTTTTGAAAAACCTCATTTGCCTGTGCACCACCCAGATGTAAGTGGTCACATCTGTGATATCTCACACTCAAAACCAACACTGCAAGAGTTTATTCTTCTGGTTCAAATAGCCTCTGCCTTCAACATGGGCACTGGTGTGTGAAGAAGAAGGAGGGACAGAGGGATACGAAAAAGAAGTCAAAGCAGAAAAATACTTAATCAGAGTGTGGTGGGGTTCCTCCCTTAGCATCTCTGCCAGATTCCTACCTGAAGATTACACATCCAGTCAGAAAGCTCGGCACCACTTCCCCATATCTCCAGCTGTACTCACATGGCATGTAGGTACTGCAGACATACTTGGCTATTTGCCAGCTAGACACATCAGAGGAGATCCTGTAGGATCTCCTTCCTGACAGCTGTTTTTCAGAAATAGAACCAATGTTAATAATAGAAACAAGCAGAGGCAGCAGTTGCTCAGCACATCGGAAATGAGGCCACTTGCATTTAAGAGCTTATAAATGGATTTAGTCTTCTAATTTCAGTACCTACTTTTGGGGCGAAAAGTCTAATTCATGATACGATTTTCATTTTTAACCTCTCTTTGGATGTGCAGATCTTTAATTTTTAGTTCTGTGTATATACTCTATAATCTCTCTCTATATAAATCAGTCAAATGTCTTCCTGTATATAAATTTAGTATTCCCTGATCAATGTACATGAAAGACCTACCCCACATGCCAGTGCAGCCTCCTACATTTCCCTGTTCTTTTATTCAACAGTGTTGGGTTTTCATTTTTTTTATGCAGTCATACTCCTTTGACAGTACATAACTGTCATGGTTCTGTCTCACAGGTTTCTATACATCAGAGACCAGCTTTAAAACTGTTTTGACAGGTTAAAAGCTGGGATTTTTCCAGGGACAGGATGGAGAGAAGCAGGAATGTGAGAAGTGAAAAAGAATATTCCTTGACACCCCCTAATCTCCTCAGCGCAGATGGCACTGTCATTTTCAAGTAGCTTCTGCGCACAACAGCCACCGAAAGAGTGAAAGTTGGAATGCTGAAAATAGTCTTCCTGGGAGATAAATGCATATCTGCATGTACATCTATCCAATATGCACAACTGTGAACGCATGAGCAGACAAATGAGCAAAGCTTACCTTCCCTCTTCTTCCTCCCCCTGTCCATTCACTAAAATTAATTGTTCCCCAAGATGCTGTAGGCCACATTGTTAATTATTGTCTCTCTCTTTTGCACCTGAGGCGTCACAGTGGTTTAGGAAACAGCCTGCAAACAGATGGACAGCTGCTGGAGATGAATCTGCAGGTATGTGAAAAAAAATGGATACAGACTTTATGATACTGCAGGCTCAGATGGTCTATTAATTTTCAATAATATTCTGGAAAGGAAGGAGGTCTTTACATGTTTTTAGGCTTAATTTGTTTTCAAAAAAGGAGTTACAAGAGCCAATTACTTTTATGATTTCATCACAATCATTTATGCTCAAGGAATATTTATGGGAAAATATTCCTATCATCCCTACACAAGATTTGTTGTTTCTTAAGATAACCCTACCCGCCGGCAGCCAGCTGTACATGCACTATGCCTGACGGTACCAAGGCTGGGTGTCTTGCAGACCAGACACAAATGCCAGCTTGAACTGGATGCTGCATGCAGCCTCTTGCCTGCTGCTTTAATGCCACTGGCTCATCCCCAACATGTACCCCAGCAATCTGCTTCTGCCATCATGTTGTCACAGAAAGCCACAGCAGCCTGAGGGAAAGCCGTCCCTTATGTGCCCAGCCTACCTCTATCCCACTTGCATGAGGCCATGTCCTGATGCAATCCCAACAAAAATGTTCCACTCTTTGATACAGCCTGGAAATTAACAAAAAGTCACTGCAGTTGTTGACACCAACTAGTTTTTCATCTTCAGAGGCTGGGGATCAAAGCTAGTAAATCCATAACAACAAGGCAGATATGTCTCTAATGGTGCTCAAAGCTGTCCTGTCCTACAGAGGAAGGCTCTGCAAAAACATAGCACAGTTATCCAGACCTACCTAGTATGCCCCATGCCAGCTTCAAAAGAGGTAAAAGGATTTGCCTTTCATAAGTACTTCAATGTGATCATTTTCTGTGTAAATGTACCCAAGAGGCATATCTGAAAACCATAAGCTCTTCTAATAGAGCCATCTTACCCTCTTCTAAGGGAAAACTATTGCTTCACATAAGGAACAGTTGCAATTTCTAAATGGGGAAAAAAGCCTTTCAGACTTGGCTGGAAGTTCAGCTCTGCACATTAGCCAAATTACTTTAGAAAGGCAATGGAAAAGTTATTAATAGATTTATCAGATGACTATCCAAAGGAATCCAGATATTTTAGCCAAGAAGCAAGAAAAAGTGAGTTAATTATACCATGACCAGACTCCTGATCCATACAGGAGTGAGGAGCAGAAGGTGATATTTACAATACAACGGCACCCTTTCTTTTCTAGTGTTGGTATGGTGCATATTTTGTGGAGCAGAGTCTACTTGGTAAAGATTGGTACACAAGTTGTCATGTGTTATACACTATTTGTCATGCTGTTATATGAGTGTGTAAAGGAACTCTGGAACTTAAGCACAGTGTAATTTCCTCCAGTACCCAAATTCTGCATTTTGAATCCAGCAGAGATTTTCATACTGCTATCACTTCGTGAAATGCTTGATACAGAAACAACTAAATGCATAATGCATTGTATACGCTACCATACATTTAGCTTAGATTACTGAATCTGCTGTCTGTCACTCTTTTAAAAAGCTCATCAAATATAATAATTATGACACAAGAGTCAGCCTGTATCATTATCACCTGCACAGGTTAATAAACAGTATATTGTCGCATGACCTTGGGATTCCAAGTCAAGGATTTGAAATGAAGGATTCTTAATTTGCCTTTCCTCCTGTTCTGCAGATGGTGCAGAATGTGAAAATTTAAAGCCAGTAGGGTTGGATACTTCTCCAGCTCTCTCTCTCTCACTACAATTGACTCTGCAGAAGCAGCATCAAGGCCTCAGGCACTCCATCTGCCCCATGGGTAGGAGGTGGAGATAAAGGCGTTTGTGGTGAACCAGCTTCCCGCTTGGTGCTGCAGAGGAGGAGGTGGGTAACTGGCCAGCAGTGGTGCTTAGCCAGAGCACTGCAGTGCTACAAATAACATTTGATCCAAAAAGGACGATCTATTTCAACAGTATTTTAGATTATTTTCTTTCTGCACTGAATCTTTTATTTTGGACAACAGTTCTTTGGAGAAATGCAACTGTCCTTAATGAATTGTTTTTCCCAGCTGCCACTGTCATTGTACCAAAAATTCAAGGTGATTTATTTGACCTGTAGCAGAGGCATAAGACTAAGACTTTAGCTCTTCTCCATTCCAACAGGAGTATTTCCTTTGGTAGAAGCAGTTCATTGATAGGGGCTATTGACTATGGCTAAGCAAAAAAGAAAGATGCCAGTATTTGGACACTTATCAGACACTTTAAGGTTTATAGGTTGGGCTCAGAGCAAACTTGTCCAATGGTGATGATATATCACAGACTGCTCCCTGGCTGTCATAGGCCCTAAGATGTTTCTTCCATTTCTGCCTTCTATGAGGGAAAGTGAGAGAAGCTCTATGAAATCAATTCAGAGTCTCAAAATGGTGCTTTAGTCATGGGTCACACAATTAGCCACATCTGCAAAGCAGTATATTTGCTGATTACCAAATTCTCACATCTAAGAACCTAGGCTAAACTTTAGTTTAAACACTTTGGTACATGGAAAAGGCACTGCCATTGCACACTGAAATGCCAGACATTGCAATGAACATATGAGAAAAAGGAGAGTTTTTTCTCTGGAGAAAAAAAGGTTGCAGGTGAAAGTTTTGGTCTGTTCTGTACTTCCTGTCTCACTCATATCCCCCCTTCCTATTTCAAGATCTTTCTATCCTTCAGACACACATGATATGTCTGGTGAGAAATATATTTCAGTTTGTTAACTTTTAACTGACACTTGGTAGAAAAACCTTTTACATTCCCACAAAATAAAATTTTGCCTCTAGCATCAATTATCATTCATCTGGCTATTGAAGAAGCTGACAGAACTGTATTCTCCTTGCTCTTCTTCTTCATGCATCTTGAAAGATATTTGACTTTGTTTCACCTAGCAGCACCTCAACAATCTCCTCACTTCTCAAATATATTTGCTAACAAACCTTTCAGAATCATCGCCTTACTGTTAAAAATCCAGCAATGGCACACATATAAGTGACCTGATTTAAAATTGTCTTACTGAGCCAGGCAACCTCCCATAAGCTCCTTTTCAAACCTTAGTATTATGTTGCTAAGTAAGGTGACAATCTACCCAAGGACTACTTCTGTATGCATGTAAGGCCTGGTACTGTTACATAGGTAAAATATGATAAGCAATCTTCCAGGTCTGACAACTAAAAGTAGCAAGACTTCAGCTAAAGTTCTGGTATTTATAA